AACTTAAAATTTTAGCCTTAATGGGTTCTTATGTGGAGGGGGCTTAAAATGAAAATTTTAGCCTAACAGGTTCTTAAAACCCAGGTTCTTATATGTGGGCTATTACTGTACTAATACATGTGACATTATCTCTCCTTTTCGTGCCATGCAACACAAAGCATCCACAGCATTCCTCCAGCTGGTGTGGTCCCGTACCTCCTTTTGGGCCTCATTAGCTTAAGTCAGCTCTTCTGCTACAATTCTCAGCCAGGTTTTTTTTGGAAAAAGGTATAGCTGAGAAGTAAAAGGGATTAAGTCAGGTTGCTTCTCACCTTTCCCACCTCCAGCATATGTACAAGGAATTGGAGACCACTGTCCTAGAACTGCCAAAAAATATATTACATTTCACTACGTAATTAGTAGCAAGTAAGCTGTGATAGTTAAAAAAAACTAATGTCATTGATTACTGAATGGGAATTTCTTGTACATTGTATCAAACAAGAGAGACTGTTCCACCACATTTCCAAACACTGAAAGGAGAGTAGAAAACATGATGTACAGCAGAGTATTTTTGACGAACTTCAAGTGTTTGGAAATGTGGTCAAACACTGTCTTGAGTGTTTGATAACTCTTCTCAGTCAAAACTAAATCTAGAGAGAAGATGGAGAAACTAAAATCACAGAAATCTATGATCTAAATGTCATCAAAGTTATTATTTTCTTTGTTTAAACTTTATGAATTAAACGAGCTTGAGAAATTGTACCTTTGACAAGATCTTCATCAATTCCCTTACACAAACCCTGTATGAAAGAACATACATTCATGTATACCATGTCAGTAAAACAGAATGTGTAGTTCCAGAAAATATCCATACTTCCCCCAGAGAAGGGATTTTTTCTAACACCTCCCCACCCTTCTGGAAATTCCAGTTAAGTCTCCTACATTTCTTTAAATTTTTGCTCGTCCAGAACCCCCCACTCCCCAGGAAATTCCAATCCCTTCTGTGGGGGAAGTATGGATATTTTCTGGAACTGCACAATTTGCCTTCGTAATATTTTTTTTTTTCCGGAGTAAAATATTGCAATTTGTGGTCCTGGCAAATCTACATAAGCACTGTTCAGCAGTCAAAATTAATTACTGGTATTCCCAGGGGTTTTATTAAGGGCTCAGCACCAGGCAAATTGATCTGCTGTTAGGTTAATTTTGCCCACCTTGTTTGAGCATCTAGACAAAAGTTTTTCTCATAAAAAAAGTTCAGTTCAGAAAATTTTGCCTGCCTGTGAAAACCATTTGCCCTGCTGCTGAAATGAAACCCCTGATTCCAAGAACTCAATCTGCCCAAAGTTTAACTTCATCACCTAGCAATNTATCCATACCTCCCCCACAGAAGGGATTTTTTCTAACACCTCCCCACCCCTCTGGAAATTCCAGTTAAGCCTCCTACATTTCTTTAAATTTTTGGTCGTCCAGAACCCCCCACCCCCCAGGAAATTCCAATCCCTTCTGTGGGGGAAGTATGGATATTTTCTGGAACCGCACAATTTGCCTTAGTAATATTTTTTTCCGGTGTAAAATATTGCAATTTGTGGTCCTGGCAAATCTACATAGGCACTGTTCAGCAGTCAAAATTAATTACTGGTATTCCCAGGGGTTTTACTAAGGGCTCGGCACCGGGCAAATTGACCTGCCGTGAGGTTAATTTTGCCCACCTTGTTTGAGCATCTAGACAAAAGTTTTTCTCATAAAAAAGTTCAGTTCAGAAAATTTTGCCTGCCTGTGAAAACCATTTGCCCTGCTGCTGAAATGAAACCCCTGATTCCAAGAACTTAATCTGCCCAAAGTTTAACTTCATCACCTAGCAAATCACGTTTCTGTTATTTGTTAATTAAAAATAGTTGTTTATTACAACCATTCTGCTACGGAGAGATTAACTTTAAATTACTATCCACCATAAAGTGACAAAACTGCTCAAAAACACACATACCTCAACATCAGCTGCATGTACAAGGAATTCTGATCCAAACTGAGACAATTCTTCTAAACACCCTAAATTAATGGAAACGTTACTGAGCAGTTTTTATGTAAATATCAGGGGCAGTGAAATTTAATCTGCAGAAATCCTGATTTGGGGCTGAAATATTTGATAACGTTTAATCATGCCTGATACTTTCTGTTGACCTTTATAGAACAGAGACATGCATGCATATACATGTACATGTACACGCTGCCTACCAATAAAATAATAAATAAATAATATGAGAAAAGGAAATAATTTAATTGACCACTCTCTGGTAGTTTTGAGGGCCATTGTATGCAATAACATAGACAAAATTAGCTACTAGTATCACAAAATATACATTGCTTTCTTTGCACATATTACATGCCTACATTGCTAAGTAAGTTTGTATGGATCTCATCTCAATATGGTAGTCTCCTACACAGGCAAATAATGAAGACCATCATATCAACTGACAAGAGATGTACTTCAAAACAGTTCATAATTAAAGTATAGAATCGCAAGGCATGTACAGCCAAGAGAAATTAAGCCAAAAAAATAATATGCGACATTGAGGGTTCTCAGTAATGCTTGACTTTTCTTACATGCTTTCGATCTGATTGTTTGGAAGGAGGATAGCAGCTACAGTATGCTGCTGACATGTATCTTATAGGCTTTTTCTTTATTTTCACCTTTTGTTATTTCCAAACTAGTAACTGTCTGCCACTTATTGATGGCCACAAACCAAGAGTTCTTCTGCCTGCGACAGCTGAGGTCAATGACTAGTTGTTCTTTACCAATCAAACTGCTCAACTGTTGGAGTCTTTCCAGGGAAAACTTGCCAGAGGGAAAAAGCCAAGATGTCACTATGACCTACAAGCAGAGTTTACATAAAGCAGAGCGTTGTATAAACAATTCTGTCAAAATATAAGAGGAGTACTGTGGTGAAGAAGTAAATGTGTTGCCTCTGAATCAAGTGGTCCAAGTTTGTCCCTAGAGAGGAGCATGCTATTGTGTGCTTGAGCAAGACACTTAAGTTTACTTTCACTGTGCCCCTCTCCACTCAGGTGTACAAATGGGTGGCACCAAATTAAATACTATGGAGTAGCCCTGCAGTGGAGTTCGTATCCCATCTGGAGGGAAGAGGTGGAACTATACCTAGCTGCTTCATGCTTTGGAAACTGACTAAAGGCATATACATGTATGGTCGAGAGTTGATTGATACTCATGACTGACCCTCGATTGAGATTCAGTCAGCACCTGGGTTGACTCTACATCAACACTTCATCAGTATCTCTACCATCAGCTAATTTTTGCAGACATGCCATCGAGTGTCAATCGATACATATGACTCAGTCAACACTCAGCCAACTATCGACTGACTGTCCATTGAGTGTCGCTTGTGTGTTGACTAAGACATTGATTGATTACTGACTGAGTGTTGGGTATCGATCCAGATGTCGATCAAGAGTCCATCGAGGTGTTGATCAAGTATTGATTGAGGGTTGATCAAGGGTATCGATTGACATGACCACGGATGTCTTAAGTACACATGATACAAGCATAGGTCTGTAAAGGCTTCAATGCATGCATTTATTGGCAATATAATTCCCATAGTTTGAGATCTGTCTCCACTGTCGAGAGCAAAACTCAAAACTGCTTCCATGTAAGGAAAGCTTTAACTTTTGTACCTTAGCAGCTCCTTTATCAAGCCATGATTTGGCATTGCCTATGGTAATGCCTCCTCCAATCTGTAGTCCACCAGGCCAGGCTGCTAGGGCTTCCTGTGCAGCCATATCATTACCAGGACCTAGTTTGATCACATGGCCTCCAGTCAAGTTGTCCTCACGGTAGCGTGATGCATAGAAGCCCGTATTATGACTGCAAAATAGAAGATGGGAATCAAAGGGCATTACTGCACCACAAAGGGAACCTTCCCAGAGAGAACTTTATACATTTAACCTGTTGAAATACTAACAGGGACGAAGTTTAGCGCTAAAAGCAGCATCGAAAATCTCCTCACTGCAATCATATATTTCCTGTAGTTCCCTTTGGGAGAATCTGGTTCTTAGTCAAGGCGTTTTCCAAGGGACGATCGCGCGTATTGGCACATTTAAGCTTCCATAATAATTATTCGTCAGCTTATTTGGCAGAGTACTTAAGTAGGTCAGCAGTGGGAATCATAGAGTTGATGTAGACATGGCATGCTGCCACAATAAGCTACAATCGTTACCTGCCTTCTCAGAGGAAATCTTTTACCTGGCAATAAAGTTTGTTCGAAGATATCCCTCATTATCTGACAACGTGCCACCGACGATCTAGCTGAAAAAGAGCATGAGAACGTTAAAGCTAACGTTTAAGTAAGGTCTAATAATTTTTTCTTGAGACAAACCTGTTTAACCTTTCCATCGTGTAGATCAATACAGGGTCGAAAATGTGTGAACCTTCGAAAATCCACCGCCATTTCGGCTATACAAGAAACTGGACACTTCATTTGAAAAGCAATATAGTATTTCTTGCGCCCCTGAAGAGTACTGCGGGCGCATTATTTTAAAGATGGCGGCTGAGCAGACTGAGCACAGCCTGAAGGAAAGTGCGGCTGAAAAACCAATGTTCACATGCTCGTCTTGTGGATTTCAATGCCATTATGAATATTTTGGAAAGAAGCCGCCCTTCTCTAAGTCTGTGCTGTACGTATATTGTTTTCGTTTTAACCNACCCCTCAGGCTCCATGCATACCTTCCAAAACCTCTAAAAGGTTTTTGCTAGTTCCAGAATTTAAAGTTATTTCAATGTTTCACAAACCCTGTTCGTTGACAAGACAGCTACCATATGAAGCCACAAGAGTCAAAAAACAAACCTTTTTTCTTTTAAGACATCAATTAATCAGTGCATACCAATACATTTTTTTTGCCACAGACTCTTAGAAGATGCATATGTTCTTCGTGATCCTTTCTCACCATATCCAGGACATTTAATTCTTGGTGGACAATGCTGTTTGTGTTCTACAGACATTTGCATTTCTCAGGTACAGGCATGTATTTCTGGGAGTACTCCCGGAAATGTAATTTGGATAGGGGTGTGCAGCCTGATTACCGAAACTCTTACCTTCTATAATCAGTTACTTAGTTCTGACCAACATTAAAAAGGTAAAGGGGTAATTAAAGTCTGCATAGGAGCCAGGTGGCCCATCAGGCCAGAGCTTATCCCAGTTTCTGTAGCATGAAGCAACTAGGAGTACATGTATTTCTACTCCTGCCTGGATGGGATGCTAGTGCATCGCAGGGTTACCCCCAGCATTAAGTTCACCAGTACCCAGTTATTAACACCTGGATGGAGAGAGGCACTGTGAGAGTAAAGTGTCGTGCGCATGAATGTAACGCAATGTCCTCAGCAAGGGCTTGAACCCGGACTGCCTGATCTGCCACCGGGCCTCTCATGACAAATGTTAAAGGCAATGTATTTATGCTTTTAATGGGTAGGAGAAAGTTTGAGAGACCAAAAATCAAAAGAAAATGGTAAATGTACCAATGTCATGAACCAACTGAAAGGAGTTGAGTAGGCCTGTCAACCACATTTTACATACAAAGTATAATCTATTTCAGACCAANTTAAAGGCAATGTATTTATGCTTTTAATGGGTAGGAGAAAGGTTGAGAGACCAAAAATCAAAAGAAAATGATAAATGTACCAATGTCATGAACCAACTGAAAGGAGTTGAGTAGGCCTGTCAACCACATTTTACACACAAAGTATAATCTATTTCAGACCAAAATGGCTAAAAAACCATATCTTTGAGGCCACACCTACATATTTAGCCCATATGAGAGTACCCTCTGAGGAATGCCCTCCCCAGCAATGGTTAAGGAGTTGTGCTCTGGATTGAGTGGTCCAAGCTCGAGCCCTAACCAGGGTCATTACATTATGTTCTTGGGCAAGACACTTTACTTTCACCATTCCTCTCTCCAGCCCAGGTGTATAAATGGGTCATGGCGAATTTCATTTCTTCTGATGGGTTTTGGTTTCCCTGCAGACTTGTAGCATTTTCTACACCAAGAGGTTTTGCATTGCTTGTGTTGAGAAAAACATGGGAGAATTTCCTGATGAAATCTGTAAGGTAAGCGCAAATAAACGAGTAATTTTGATGCCAACGTTTCTTGTAGCACCCCCTGCTTGCATGAAAGTAAGTAAGTAACTTTATTTAAGCAGGGTAGCCCATTCAGCAACGAGGCTGGTATCCATAGAAGCTTGCATCATGCAAAAATCGCACACATCATATAACATTGTCGGATGCAAGATTGGTTTTGCAACGAACAACATCTTTCGTCTCGTATACATGAAACAGTGTTAAAGGGGTTAAAAGTTTGTTATATAACTGGAGTTTTTTCAATCTAATGTGCATTTATGGTCACGCGGCAATGGCTAAACCTGAATGTCACCTGCCAGGCAACAATTAATCCAAATTAAGCAACTGTTACCCGCTCTTCCACTAACCAAAGGTTACTTTGACTTCTTTGTGCTGTATTACTTCACACTAAACTACGCGACCAGCTCTATAACTGTTTTCCCTCGAATCTCGATGTTTCCCTTGACTTCGTCTCGAAAAACCAAAAACTGCTTCCCTCGGGACCAGTTATAATATTTACCTGAAACAATTTCTCTCGTATGGTCTATCGTAAGCCTCTCGCATATATATATAAAAAAACTATTCAGGCCGGGCTATTCTGTGTTTATTCGGAATCCATGAACGCGGGTAAAACCAAAGGTATTAGTTTCTAAAAATATACCGTTGGGCTGTGCCAGCAAACAAGTGAAACACTTTAATAACTTGAAGTTGAGGAAGGAAAATTTACCGCCGTGACTGTTAATTTACCTTAAATAACTGAAGGTTGATAAATAGATAAGTGTAAAGCCAAACTTGACGTTACTCTTGATCAGCCAAGCGAAACGGTGCTTCTCCTCCAAAAACAAGGCAAACGTTGAAAAGAAATGGCACTGCGAAATCAATATGATAGAAACATATCGTATTGGGATCCGAACTCGCCTCGCCGAAGGGGTTCGCATTCTATGCAAGGAAGAAATTAAACTGCCGGAAGGAAATCGACTTGCCGGAAGGAAATCGACTTGCCGGAAGGAAAACGGCTTGCCGGAAGGAAATTGTGATGGCTAAAGAAAAATTAGAATTCTGGAAGGAAGTGAGCACCTCTGAATGTTGAACGCAGAGATGATCTTATAGAAAGATTAATTAAACATCACGTTTGTTGTTATTCCCCTTTTTCCCAACGAACGAAAAAATTCCGTGTTTTACCTTGAAATTGAGTAATTTCGCGATTTGCTGCAAACATAACAAGTTTTTTCTCACTTTTTTGATGAATCTGATTAAGTTGAGGCTGCGTTCTACCAAGCGGTACATAGTCCCGGTTTCTGTAGCGTGAAGTGACTAGGAGTATTTCTTCTCCCCCCTGGATGGGGTGCTGGTCTATCGCAGGGTTACCCCCAGCATTAAACTCGCTGGTACCCATTTATATACCTGGGTGGAGAGAGGCACTGTGAGAGTAAAGTGTCTTGCCCAAGGACTTAATAACTTCTATTGTAACCCACTTTGTGACCTTATGCCTGTGTGATTTTTATCATTCCTGTAGGATTTACAGAGAAAAGACGTTTCACGCAGCTAGGTAACTCCATTCTGCGCTTCGTGGAAAGAACTGCGCTCAGTGCTCAGTTATCTGCATCTGGAAGAAGAGATTTGGTGAGGACCAGCCACAAAGCTGTTATGTTGTCAGGATTGTCTTCATCGATCCATATATGGATCTGAAATTTTGACATCTGAGTACAAAGCNATTAAACTCGCCGGTACCCATTTATATACCTGGGTGGAGAGAGGCACTGTGAGAGTAAAGTGTCTTGCCCCCCACTTTGTTGGCCCTATGCCCGTCTGATTTCTATTTTTGTTTTCTTTTAATCATTCCTGTAGGATTTACAGAGAAAAGACGTTTCACGCAGCTAGTTAACTCCATTCTGCGCTTCGTGGAAAGAACTGTGCTCAACGCCCAGTTATCTGCATCTGGAAGAAGAGATTTGGTGAGGACCAGCCACAAAGCTGTTATGTTGTCAGGATTGTCTTCATCGATCCATATATGGATCTGAAATTTTGACATCTGGCTACAAAGCATTCATCATGGGCAGTATTGCGCTCTCTCGAGAGAGAAATCATGAAAGACGTCATTCAAGAACCTCATGGAATAGTGCGGCGTACTTATAAGAGCTTTATACATAGATGGCGCGTCTTCTTATAAAAAAAAACGGTCATTTTAAATGTCTCAAGCTTGTTATTCGCAGTCTTTCTTGATTTTCCCCAATGTTAAACCATCAAAGGCTTTATAATTACTTCTTTAGTGATTATTTTTTCTACCTAAGTAAAGAATATGTCGAGGTTTATTTCCTTTAAAAGCTGGTTTGTACAGGACGAAACACTACTCTATAGTGAAGCGTGCTTTCCAAACAAGCGAGCTCAAAGTAACTGATCCGAATCAATCATGTGCAAGCAAGAGAAACAAGGTGATGCTCAACAGAAGCTAGCACGCTAAAAGCCGTACTTCGACAACTCAGTAGAAACTAGCACGAGCTGTTAACGTAATAGACTACTAACAGTCTTTCTTTTGCTCAATTTTGCTCGAAGATCCGCGAAAGAACGGAAAAGTGTGAGTAGAAGCAAGTGTCTGTTCGTTTGCGTTCTTCCCCGCGGATTTTCCAGCAAAAGAGAAACTGTTCGCGGTCTATTGACGTAATGATGGTGCGAGCAAAGAAAATATAATTTTGATAATCAAATTAAAAGAGAGATTTTCCATGCGTTTTCCCGCAATGTTTTCCAAAAGAAATATAAACTAAGACATCTTTTCCGTTTTTCTGTAGCGCTCTAGAAACACTCGTGAAAGTTTGGGAAGAATTAATGTAAAAGGTATGTCCAAAAATACCACAAATACTTAGATTCATTCAGACGATAGTCACATGCGCGCTATTCACGCGCCAGAAGCTTATTACGTGAAGGAATTGTGCCGGTCGTTCTACGAGTTTTCCATTCTATGCTAAAATAATTTAAAGGTAGGCTATTAAATCTATCACCAGGATGGGCAATAAAGTATAAAGAGGGCTCCAAGGTGATCGCCAAATCCGATATACCCGGCCAAAAAAATCCCGATCTTGGTAAGAAAACATGTATAGACAAAACACACTTAAATAAAACGAAAAAAATTGAAATAAAAAATCCCTTAAAACATCACGAGAAAGGCAGCTGATAACTTGTACCAGCTTTGCGAAGATTCACAAAGATAAGTAAATTTTTTCAACTTAATAC